TTAAGACAGAGAGACCCAATGTCTCTGTACTTGTTTGTGCTGGCAATGAAATACTTGAACAGATCCCTAAAGACACTCATACAAAATCCTGACTTCATCTTCCATCCCAAGTGTGCAAGGCTGCAAGTTCTACACATTTGCTTTGATGATGACCTACTGATGTGTTGTAGGGCAGATGAAGTGTCTATGAAGCTAATGATGAGAGTATTTGAACAATTTTATGTTGTCTTTGGACTTAAAGCAAACATGGAAAAGAGATCTTTATATATAGCATGAGTGTCTGTGGCCTTCAAAGAAAGAATGATAACTAAGTTGAACTTAACTCTAGGTACTCTACCATTCAAGTACCTTAGAGTACCTGTGACGACCTGGCCAGTCGTTTTAAGAGTTATAGCCCTGATCCCCTGTCTACTTTTTCTCCGTGTCTTTTTCTGCTTATGTGTCTTGTTGGGAGGTATTGGTTGTGGTTTCGGAGTATTTTGAGATACTTAGTCCTTAAACGGAACCTTAAGCCTTAGGATTTGGACTGTAGTCAGAACTATATGAAGACGACTCCGAAATGGAGTTTCACCGGTTCTGTTAGCTTTGTTAGGTGATTTTGGACTTAGGAGCGTATCCGGATTGTGTTTTGGAGGTCTGTAGCTCATTCAGGCTTGAAATGGCGAAAGTCAAATTTTAGGAGATTTTGACCGGTAGTGACATTTTTGATATCGGGGTCAGATTCTAATTCTGGAAGTTGAAAAAGGTCCGTAAGGTTGATTATGACTTTTGTGCAAAATTTGGGGTCAATCGGACGTGGTTTGATAGGTTTCGACATCGGTTGTCGAATTTGGAAGTTTCAAGTTCTTTAAGTTTGAATCAGAGGATGATTCGTGATTTTAGCGTTGTTTGATGTGGTTTGATGGCTCAACTAAGTTCGTATGGTATTTTAGGACTTATTGGTATATTTGGTTGAGGTTTCGGGGGCCTCGAGTTTATTTCGGATGGTTAACGGACCTTTTGAACTTAAGAAAATATAGCAAATTTCTGGTGTTTTTGTTGCAGACAATTCTTCATCGCGTTCGCGATAGAGGTCTCATGATCGCGTAGGGTATCTGGGAGGCCAGCTCAAGTTTGTTCTTCGTGTTCGCACATAGGAGTCTGCGTTCGCGAAGGTATGGTCAGTGGAAGCATCGCGAACGCGAAGAGTGGAATGCGTTCGCATAGAGGAAGTGAGGCAGATGGGGACCCCAGTCATTTGGTCCAGCGTTCGCGAAGGACCAGGAAGTGAGATGTATGCATTCACGAGAGGTCCCTCGCGTTCGCGAAGGAGGAAATTTGGTTTGTGAAATTTTTGTTATACGCGAACACGAGAGAGTGGCCGCATTCGCGAAGAAGGGAACACCTAGGTAGCTTTAAAAGTTCAAAATCAAGGGTTTATGTCATTTTTCACCATTTGGACTTGAGAGCTCATAATTAGGAGATTTTTGGAGGAATTTTCATGTGGGTGTTTGGGGTAAGTGATTCTTACTTGGTTTTGGTTAATTTTTATGATTATGCCTTTAATTTCATCATTAAATTAGTGATTTGAGGTGAAAAATTGGAAAAATTTTGGGAAAGGTTCTTAGGCCGAGTTTTGGATTTTGATCGAGATTTTGGCATAGGATTCGGATAATTTTGGCACAAGTGAACTCGTGAGTAAATTAGTGTTCATATTTGGTGACTTTTACCCGATTCCGATACGTGGGACCGGGGAGACTTTTTAGGGCGATTTTCCAATTTCTTGCATTAGTTTTGATTTCATTATCTAGATTAGTTCTTTTAGTGTTTATTTATGATATGTAATTGATTTTGGCTAGATTTGGACCATTCAGAGTCGGATATTCGTGGAAAAAGCATTGTTACAGATTGATTGAGTTTGGTTCGAGGTAAGTGGCTTGCCTAACCTTGTATGGGGAAACTCCCCTTAGGACTTGGTACTGTTTTGATATGTGAGCGCCGTGTACATGAGGTGACGAGTACGTACACATGCTAATTGCTGTAAAAAAAACCGATTTCTGCTAAGTAATAACCTGTTTTCCTTCTTATTTGAGTCATATTAGTATGTGTAGTAACATATTAGATTAGAATAGTATGTCTACTTGCCTTAATTGTCTATCTGAACTCCGTGCAACATGTTTAGTGAATTTTTATGCTTTTCCTTGTCTGGTACTTAGTCTAAATTATAGGATTTCGTGTTGTGGCTGTTGAATTCTATTGTTTGAGCTGTGTATTTACTTTTGGGACTACGGGACGGTATTCCGGGAGACCCCCCTGCATATTTATTTTTGGGACTACAGAACGGTATTCCGGAGAGTCCCCATGCATATTTACTTTGGGACTACGGAACGGTATTTCGAGAAATCTTTCTTGCACATTTACTTTTGGGACTACGAGACAGTATCTCGGGAGACCTCCTGTTGTTATCTCTGAGTGCTGAGCTGTTATCTTTATACGATTTCATTCTTGTTAAAGTTCTGTCTTTATTTTATTGCGATATTTTATTTTGCCTTATTTTTATTATATATATATATACCAGTAGGGCCCTGACCTGACCTCGTCACTACTCGACCGAGGTTAGGCTTGATACTTACTGGGTACCGTTGTGGTGTACTCATGCCCTTTCCTGCACATTTTGTTTTTCGTGTGCATATCCAAGTTTTGCCTACCAGTCTCATCCTTAGTTGCAGCCGCTGCTATTTTCGGAGATTTCAAGGTATATCTGCCCGCGTCCGTAGATCCTCGAAGTCCCCCTCTATTCCCCTTTGTTTATTCTTCTCTTATTTCTATAGATAGTGACGTATAGAACAATAAAAATTTCGTAGAAACTTGTGACTTACGGTATTTCGAGTCTTGGGAGTGTTATGTAAATTCTGAGAGTTGACCATTGTATATGCCGAGCGGCGTCTCAATTGCTTATATAAATTATTTGCTACTGTTAGTTGTTAATTTTCATATTTTTATTTTATTTCCGTAAAGTGTTAGGCTTACCTAGTCATAAAGATTAGGTACCGTCGCGACAACCTACGGAGGGAGAATTTGGGTCGTGACAGTACCTATGTCCACAAGGAAGCCCACAATCCACCAGTGCATGCCATTAGTTGACAAGATTGTTGACATGATCAGAAGGTGGACTTCAAAATTTCTATTTTATGCTGGAAGACTACAACTCATTAAGATTGTTATATTTGAAATACAGACCTACTGGGATTAGGTATTCTTAATACCCAAGAATGTCATTAAGCTAGTTAATAGCATTTGTAGAAATTTTCTTTGGGTTGGAGTGCATGACAACCCTAGTAGAGCTCTTGTTGCTTGAGAAACTTTGTGCGAGCTAAGAGATGTTGGTGATCTAAGCATCATCAACTATGCACTACAGAACAAGGCTGCACTGACCAAACTCCTATGGGCTATAACTGCAAAGAAAAATAAACTATGGATTATGTGGATCCACAATCAGAACATAAAACACAAAGATGTTGCTACCATGCCAACAGGCCAGTTGGTTAGTAAGAAAAATATTCTCTGCTAGAGAGTGGCAAGCTTCTGATCTAACAGTGACCGGCTCCTTTGTGTCTGATGGAAGATTCAACATAAAGAAGGTATACATCTATCCTATGCCATGTTACCCCAAAGTTTCAAGGAAATCACTAAACATGTTGAAGGAAATCATGCCAAAATACCAGTTCATAATATGGATGAAAGTTCGGCAAAGACTAGCTACTATTGACAGGCTTGCAAGATGGGGAATTCAGGTGCCCCAGTCATGTGTGCTGTGTGACAGGGATACTAAAGAAACACATGCTCATCTATTCTTTAATTGCCAATACTCAAAAAGCTTGTGGAAGGGAATGATGATATGGCTAAGGTACCAAAGGAGCATCACAAATTGAGAGTCTGAATTGAAATGGTTATCAACCAATGTCAATAATAGGAATCTAAGAAGAACAATCCTAGAGGTTGTTTTTTGCAGCTATGGTGTATCATATCTGGATGGAAATGAATAGTAGAAGATTTCAAGACTATAAGAGGGAGGCTATGGACAGAGCTGAAGACATTACATTTCAAGTGCATATAACAGGTCAACAAAAATGCAAATTGAGACCTATGTTGAATACATTGAATAATTATCCTAGTTTGTAGTTCTCGCAATTTAGGATAGAGAATGAACTACATTTCACAAGTGGTCTAGGATAAGCAACAATATGGTTGTATAGCTTATTGTTTTAGGTTATTTTTGAGACCTGCTACTTGAGTAAAAAAGAGCAGGTGTTGTACATTAGAAACTGGTTGAAATAAAAATTTTATTTACAAAAAAAAAAAAAAATCCTATACTTTACAAAGTTTTCAATCTACTCTACAAAAGTTATGTTAGAAAAACACTAAGCGGCATGTTTCGTTGTTTTATACTAAGTAATTAATTGTTGTTATTTAAAGGTCAATTATTCACTTGTTTTGATTTTTTTTCTTGTTCACCAATAAATCGATTAGTTAAACTCATATTTTTATAATCAATTCGATTCCGGATTGAATGGGGGCAAACGCTTAAGAAAAAATCACTTAGATTTAACCATGGTTTAATTTATTCCTTATCGCGAAATTTCTAGTACTTTCTTAATTCTAATTAATTTTAAGTCCACCCAAAATTGGTTTCTTACCAAAATAATTTTAATTTTTTTCTTACCAAAAAAAAAAAGGTTTCCCGCCCACATCGAAAACTGAAATTCAAACTTCCCCATTCAAAAAGTTTCACGTGCCGCTACACCTTAAAATCAACCGTCAATGCGTCCTTTCATCAGCGGCTGATATCTACGATCTACGAAAACTGTACCCAACGAATCCGAAAAGAGCACGTGGAACCTAACTAATCACAACAGCTAATATTGAACGTCCATTCTCCACTTTATCAACGGCTCACATTCTCGATCCTCGTTAGTCGAAATTAACCAATCACACAACAGAATCAAAACCTTATATATAAAACTCACTCCCCCCTGTACCCATTCATCACTCACACTTTCTCTTTACTCAATCCTCTATTCATTTTTCTGTGAAAGCTATATACAATGGCACCAAAGGCAGAGAAGAAGCCAGCTGAGAAAAAACCAGTAGCAACAGAGGAGAAAAAGGCAGAGAAAACCCCAGCAGAGAAGAAACTAAAAGCGGGCAAGAAGCTCCCAAAGGAAGCCGGAGCAGCAGGAGCTGACAAGAAGAAAAAGAGGGCAAAAAAGAGCGTTGAAACCTACAAGATTTACATCTTCAAAGTGCTGAAGCAAGTGCACCCAGATATTGGTATTTCTAGTAAGGCAATGGGGATCATGAACAGTTTTATTAATGATATTTTTGAGAAGCTTGCTCAAGAATCTTCTAGATTAGCTAGGTATAATAAGAAGCCAACAATTACTTCAAGGGAAATTCAGACTGCCGTGAGACTCGTGTTGTCTGGGGAGTTGGCTAAGCACGCTGTGTCTGAAGGGACTAAGGCTGTTACTAAGTTTACTAGCTCTTAGGTTTTTATTTTGGGATTTTCGGTGAATGTAAAGGTTCTTAGTTTTTGGTGTTTCTGATTTGTATTTGTCCTTGACTGATGAAGTAATGCAAATGAATGAATGGTTTTATCTTATGAAATTCTTTATTCTAGATATGTTCTGTTTTTTGTTTTGTTTAAAATATATTCGCGGACTTTGATGTTTTCTGTTTCTTCATTTGGAAGTCGTTACCTGAGCATGAATTTGGTAAATAAACTTTTGTAAGATAGTGTTTCAGTGTATGGTGATTTAATTTGAATAAGGTAATATTATGATTTACTTTGTATTTCAAATTGGTGATACACTCTTTCATAACTTACCAGTTCATTTACCTCTGAGTGAGGTGTTTAATGCCTACTTTATGCCAGTAACAATTTAAGTATTTAATAATATCTTGATTTTTTGCCTTTTACTTTTCCTCTTCCAAAAGGTGAAATAAATCAAGTATACTGTTTAACACTTACGTTTGTAGAACAACTTATAAATCTTTTCTAATTTGTTTAAGACTAGAAGTGGAAATCATTTTTGAACGATTAGTTCTTGTTGTTTCTACTATTATTATATAGTCATATTCTTTTAATCTAACTGTTTCTTAATTTTTGCTTTCAAATGCTTTATCTCGATATTGAATGTTTGAGGTGGTCGATTGAATTTGAAATTTAAACAGGTATAAGCACAATCAACCAACTTATCTTCAACTGATGTAAGCAATTACTTGGGAGCCGACTTGTTTTAGGACCTTATAACTAACTAAGTACTCTGTATTTAGCAGGGGTCTATCTCCATTCTTCAGAACTAATCAATCAACGCCAATGGTTATTTGTATCTGAAAAATCTCTAGTGTGAACATGTTAATAACATTGGTCTTCTCTTTAACTCTTGCAACTCTAAAAATGACTTGGACAGTCTGAGAAAAATAGAGTATATTAGACGTCTTGGAACTTGAATATTGACTTGGGTAAACAAAAAATACACTAGTAAAATAAAGACGACTCTAGATATTCTAGTTTATGGGAAATAAAGTGCCATTTTACCAGGTTCCAGCCCATGCAATGATTATTACTGATTTTGAATTCCAATGTCGTCAACACCGCCCGTCGTTACACATAATAGATTCATACGCATAGGAATTCCCTTAATTTGAATATTCACTGTATTTATTATGCTTATGTAAAATGGAGAAACATGTTAGTAGTATATAAATGAGTTTTGGTCCCTCTTTCTGCCATATTGGAGCACTAATTATACGTTTAAGACGATCGCGTAGTTCTTTCCACCAAGGTAAAAAAACTCATGGCCCAAGGTACATATTTTCTCTTCTAAAACTCTCAAGAGTATAATTTTGGGTTATAGAGTTTTCAAATCTAAGATTTTATCTCATAATTCTAACAGAAAACAGTTCTTCTGAATAATCTTCCAATTCATGCATCACCGCAGTTCAAGGTAACACATCCCTTTTTGTTGTAAGAGCTACATTTATATTTTAATGTATAATATTCTATCTCATATTCTAACAGAAAATGCAGTTGAAGAAGTAAATTTGGATGATTTTCCTTATCTGCTGGCTGACGATTTGACTTATATGAACATAGTCCTAAAAGATCAGTTCGTCAAAGAAGCATTAAGGAGTTTAGGAGCAGAGAAACTGAAGGTCATGAATGATAAGTGGATACAGCTAAAACGGGAAGAAACACAGCTCCATATTAAAAAGACACAGCCGATGTTGTTGCAGCTGAATCTGGCAGAGGCGGAGCTATATTTAAAAAAATTGCAGCTGTGTCAGAAGCATTTGAAAATTGTTAAGAAAGCAGTCATGAAAACTTCTAGTAATAATTAGTAGTTGAATATCTAGGTGAATGTTTTTTTTTAATTTTTGGTGTTTGTTTCGTAATTGGTCTTATAATGATCAAGTAATGCAAATGAATGAATGGTTTTGTCTAACTAAATTCTTATTTCTGGATCTCTTTTTGTTTCTTTATAAATTTACGGGTCGGAGTATTTCGAATCGGTGATTTACACTTTCATAACTTGCCAAACCTTTGAGCAAGGTGTTTAGGGTTATTTTATGATACAACAGTTTAAACCTATCTTAATATAGTAGTATCATAATTGTTGCTAAAGTTGAGCTGAATCAAGTATACTTTTTAAAGCCTATGTTTGTAGAAGAACATAAGAAACGATTCAACCTTGTCGAAGAGCATATCTTTCCATTTTCTCTGTTTCCTAACTTTTGTTTTCAAATATTTTATCTTAATGTTAAAAGTTTGAGGTGGTGGATTGAATCGTGCAGCTTCTGATTTCATGTTAACACTGGCACAATTAATCCATTAAGTTGTAACTCATCAAATATACCCTTAACAGATCAACAAATGTACGGTTCTCGTCAAAATTTAAGAGGCATAAAATGAAAATTTATACAAGAGCTAACAAAACAATGATTTTCACCGAGGTTATGTTTATTTGAAAAATCTCTAGTGTGAACATTTCAAGTGCATAAGTCGTCTCTTTAATTCTTGGAACTTTAAAAAAGACTTGGACAGTCAGAGAAAAATAGAGCATAACTACATACCTTACCTGCTTTTAATGTGAAGCATGTTTAGGGAGTAGTATGTCTCATCTAATCACTTATTGGAACTTCAATAATGACTTGGATGATTGAAAAACAATAAGATAATGACGTGGACAATAAATTCTAGTTTAAGGGACTATTCGAGTAAATTTCCATTTTAGCACTGATTTATTGCTTTTTTGAATTCCAATGTCGTCAAAGCGGCCACTCGTTCCGTAAATTTAATTCGTAATTCATATGCATAGAAATAAAATCCCTTTAATTTGAACGAACATTAATTACTTACTGTATTTATTATGATTTTTAATTAAGACTGCTATGTGATATGGGAAAACATGACTTTTAATTTAGTTAGTATTTATTTATGAGCATTGGTCCTCTTTCTACCATAATGGAGCACTACGCGTAGAAGATCCTCATGGTCCAAGGTATTTATTTTATGTTTACTGGAAAACTTTCATAATGTTGGGTTATATAGTTTTCTTACCTAAGATTTTATCTCATATCCTAACAGAAAACAGTACCTTCAATTTCGAAGCAGATCGAGAACAATTCAAAAAGCACCATAACTCAAGGTAACACATCTGTTTTAAGAGTTACAATATTTTAAATCTAAGTAGTAATATATATATATATATATATATATATTGTAGCTCATAGTCTAACAGAAAATGCAGTTGAAGAAGTCAATTTGGCTTATTTACCATTTCTGCTGGCAAGCCGTATGGGCATAGTCCTAGAAAATAAGTCCATAGCAGAGAAAGTGAAGGTCATGATTCATGAATGAAAAGTGGACGATGGAGCTGGAACGGGAAGAGAATTAAAGAGCTCTTTTTAGCAAGCTTTCTGTGTGAGAAGCATTTGAAAATGGTCAAGGAAGCTACTAGAGGATTCATTTAATTTGGGAAGTATTTAGTAAATGCAAAGGATGTTGGTTTTTTATGTTTGATTTCTTATTGGACCTCGAATATTGATGAAGCAATGCAAATGCATGAATGATTTCGTCTAATGAAGTTGTAAGTTCTGGATCTTTTTTGATTTGTTTATATTCTTGTGAATTTTGGATATTTATGTTTTTTCACTGGGAATTTGTAAACAGAAATTGAATGTGGTCTATGTTCTTTTTCAAGATTAACGTTTCAGATTATGTTTATTGAATCTCTTGTACATTTAAATATAATACAAATTAAAGCTGAACAGTCAGAATAGGGAACATTTATAAAACCATCGTCTAAAAAGATGGGTGCACCATTAGTTCAAAGATAAACATTCGGTTTCATGAAATAAAATTTTACAAAAATAACAACTTGACTAGCAAAAATTATCCAATTCCATTATCTCAAAAATACATCATCAATTAATATTTGTACTAGACAAGCTTTCATATTTTGAAACCGATCCATAATAGCATCATTATTTACAGTTGCAAATACATTACGCTCTATATTGCAAACTAAACAACCATTCAAAAATTCATCACCAATGCTATTACGTAGATCATTCTTTATGAGCTTCATTGAGGAGAATATTTTTTCCACGCTTGCTGTAGCAATAGGTAAAATCAATGTCAGCTTCACAAGTAAATACACAAGACACCAAGTTTGATTCAATTTTGTTTTAGCCATCACTATAGATTTCATTATTCAATAAGGGAATCACACATTCACACCCACATTCAAATATAAGAGAATCACGAATCACGAACACTTACAAATTCATAATATAACAGGGGAATCACACCACTTCTAACTTACAATAATATAAAATGAAAACATACCAATTCGTCCGCAAAATATGTAATAGTTTATCTTGATCAACTGAATGTCTCTGCGATTCTGTCCAAGTTCCGGACTTTGAAAGCGAGTTTCACAATGTAATCTGCCAAATAACACACAAAAAAAAGTAGTACATTGCAGGTTAATAGGATTCCAAAAATTAGATAAACAATGAACCAAACAAATAAGAAAAATAGAAAAAAAATTATAAAGATGAAAGCAAATAAAATAAATGAGATTAACAACAAAATAAGAAATAAAAAATATACATGCTTAAGGAGTAAAAAAAACTAGAAAAATCCTTGAGAAAGAGCAAATAAAATTGAAGAATCGCTAATAATAGAGATTCTAATATACTATTCTGGCATTGCGAGATTATAGCGAAGTGAATGGAGAGAAAAAGAGGATCCGGTGATTTTGGGTTTAGAACTAGATTAAGAGAGAGAGGGGGAGACACAATTGAATTTTGGGGTTTTGGCGTGAATTGAGATTGGAATTGGGATTGTGATTTGGGGGGAATATTGGATATTTGGGATTAAAAAACTGAAAAGAAATAATACACTGCTGCCACTGTGTAAAACAAATAAAAGAGAGGAGAAAAATAATAATAATTAAGTACAAAAATTGACACTTTACTAGTTGACAACAAGGAAACAAAGAAAATGCCTAACTAGTGCACCTTTAATCCATTTTTTAATCATGGGGGCCGGCAAATACTTTTATAGATATTAAATTAATTATCTATGTAATAAATAAAAT